AATCAGTGGTAAGGTTGACAATCAAATCAGGCATAAATTTGACAATCAAATCAGTGATAAGTTTGACAATCAAATCAGGCATAAATTTGACAATCAAATCAGTGATAAGTTTGACAATAAAATCAGTGGTAAGGTTGACAATCAAATCAGTGATAAGTTTGACAATCAAATCAGTGGTAAGGTTGACAATCAAATCAGTGGTAAGATTGACAATCAAATCAGTGGAAAGATTGACAATCAAATCAGTGGAAAGATTGACAATCAAATCAGTGGAAAGATTGACAATCAAATCAGTGATAAGGTTGACAATCAAATAACAAATTGACAAATTGACCAGTTAGAGTATTTCTAAGTTATAAGTATCAGTGTCTAAAGGTACATTCTAGTCCTCGGCCTAAAACACTCTGAGTTTCCTGTTCCTTTTGGAGACTCCACAAGGATGTTGCCACTGTCCTGAAAAAATTCCCTCATTGCATACTGCATTATAATTAAAAAAAAGTCACTCAAAGAATTCCTTAGCAAAACATCACTAAAGGAATCGCTTAGCAAAGCACCACAAAAAGCATCACTCAACAAAGCACACCTCATAAGAATACTTAGCAAAGTGTCGCTCAAAGAATTACTTAGAAAAGCATCACAAAGAGCATCACTCACCAAAGCAAACCTCAAAGGAATTACTTAGCAAATCGTCACCTCATAAGAATACTTAGCAAATCGTCACCTCATAAGAATACTTAGTGAAGCGTCACTCAAAGAATTACTTAGCGAAGCGTCACCTCATAAGAATACTTAGCGAATCGTCACCTCATAAGAATACTTAGCAAAGCGTCACCTCATAAGAATACTTAGCGAAGCGTCACCTCATAAGAATACTTAGCGAAGCGTCACTCAAAGAATTACTTAGCAAATCGTCACCTCATAAGAATACTTAGCGAAGCGTCACCTCATAAGAATACTTAGCGAAGCGTCACCTCATAAGAATACTTAGCGAAGCGTCACCTCATAAGAATACTTAGCGAAGCGTCACTCAAAGAATTACTTAGCAAATTGTCACCTCATAAGAATACTTAGCAAAGCGTCACTTAAAGAATTACTCAGTAAAGCATCACTCAACAAAGCACACCTCACTCAAGGAATTGCTGGCAAAGCATCA